AGACCCAAGTAATAAATAAATAATAAATGCTATAGCCCAAATAATGGACCGGAAATAATACTCGGCATGCTAGGAATCAAACACTAATACTCCTGTTGGAAGTAGGGACCAAACACCACTAGACTAGCATTGATGCATTGATGTTGTGTTGACTGATGCTCCTGTTGCAAGCCCGTGGCCACTCCGGTTTCAACCACGAAGGCCGAGACTGATGCCGCGGTACCATACGCTGATCCCATTCAGTATCGTAGTTTTGCAGGTGCTCTGCAATATCTTACGGTAACTTGGCCTGATCTTTCCTATGCAGTCAATCGTTTGTGTCAGCACATGCACTCTCCCTCTACTGCGGATTGGGCGGCTCTCAAGAGGGTGTTACGGTATTTAAATGGGACACTACATCTTGGTCTTAAGATTGCTTCTTCTCCTTCTCTGGATATTCATGCATATTCTGATTCGGATTGGGCTGGCAATCCTGATGATCGCAAATCTACTAGTGGTTTTGCTGTGTTTTTGGGGAACAATCTTGTCTCATGGGTTTGTCGAAAACAACGTACTGTGGCTCGTTCATCAACTGAGGCTGAATACAAAGGACTGGCTGATGTCTCTGCAGAGGTTACTTGACTCGTCTCTCTGATGAAGGAAATCGGGTTTGCGCCACCTTCTATGCCCAAACTCTGGTGTGGCAATCTGGGAGCTACTTATCTATGTGCTAAGCAGGTGTTTCATGCTCGCATCAAGCACATTGAGATCGACTACCACTTTGTTTGTGATAAAGTCGCAAAGAAGGAATTACAAGTCAATTTTATTTCTACCAAAGATCAGATAGCGGATTTTTTACTAAGTTTCTTTCGTCTATGCGTTTTAAGTTACTCTGTTGCAAGCTCAATGATTTGACTGACCAACCTTGTGCTTGAGGGGGAGTATTAGAACTCTACTAGTAGTATTAGACTAGATCTCTATTTCATGTCTTTATATATTTTGTATCCGCTGCTCTTGATCAATACACATAAAATATATTCTCATCGCATCACTTACATAGGGATGGCAATGTGCCCCGTCCCCGTCGGGGATCCCCGTCCCCGTTGAGAACGGGGACGGGGATGGGGAAAATTTTCGGGGATCGGGGACGGGGAATTTGTGGAATTCCCTGTTGGGGACGGGGACGGGGAATTTGTGGAATTCCCCGTTGGGGACGGGGACGGGGACGGGGATACCCCTCCCCGCCCCGCCCCGTCCCCGAATAATTAAAAAATATATATATTATTTTAGGAATTTAGGAGTATTGCCGTATAGATTAGTTTTAATTGTAAATTTAATTATATACTTTGTCTTGTCATATAAACTGTATACTGTAAAATTGAAACAATTTAAATTGTAATGTGAAACAACATTTAAATTAGAGATTAGATTGTGAAACCATTGAAATTATACACTTATACTATGGAAGCTTTGAAATTAAATTATATTGTGAAACCATTAAAATTAAATTATACTGTGAAATCATTTAAATTATACTGTAAGTAGATTGTGAATAAATTAATGAATCATTTGAATGTTTATTTGTTGGTGCATGTATAGATTGTATACTGTGAAACCATTTAAATTATTTAATCATATAATTGTTGTCTATTAGGACTTATACATTTTATTTTATTTTATTTTTAAATTGTAGACACTTTGACCATGAGATTGACCGGGGATGGGGATTCCCCGTCCCCGCTAAATTCCCCGTGGGGACGGAAACGGGGAATTTTTTCAATTCCCCGCAGGGGATGGGGACGGGGACGGGGACGAGGTCGGGGTAGCGGGGACGGGGACGGGGAGTATACTCCCCTCCCCCGCCCCGCCCCGTTGCCATCCCTACACTTACAGCACGTTTGGTTCACGGAATGAATTTGGAGGGAATAGGAATGCTATTCCACAGAGAATGGAATAGGTAAGGAATATAATAGAAATTGTATTATGTTGTTTGGTTGGCTGAAGGAATAGAGTTTAGTAATTGTATTTCAGTGTTTGGTTGGTTAAAGGAATAGAAATGGAATAGGTTTTAAAAACATAAATACCCTTATACAAAATAATAATAATAATAATAATAATAATAATAATAATAAATATGATTATGATATACTGAATGTTATATATATATATATATATATATATATATATTTATTTATTTATTTATTTATTTATTTATATACATGTATATGCATGTGTACGAGATAGAGAATAATATAATAATAATAATAATAATAATAATAATAATAATAATATTATTATTATTATTATTATTATTATTATTATTATAATACAAATACATATTTATATTTATATTTATTTTCCCACTTATCCCACATCGGTTGGAGAAGTAAGGAATGGAGCCTTGAGGCTCCTATAAAAGGAGCATCAAGGCTCCATAATTTCAATTGTAATGCTCATCCGCTAGGCAAGCTTGCAATGCCCATTCGCTAGGCATGTCGATGGACAGGCTAGCTACTTAATTTAGGAGCCAAGGCTCCATAATCAAGGAGTCTTATACAGTTAATTTTTTTTATTTACACACACACACACACACACACACACACACACACATATATATATATATATATATATATATATTCACACACACAAATAATTTATTTAAATATATATATTTATTGATAGATAAAAATTATAATTAATTAAATATATACATTTATATAATACATTATATTTATTAAATAAATATAAATATTATGTAATGTGCAAAGGGTATTTTGTGTATTTGTGATATAAAAGTTATTCCCAAGGGCATGGGAATAGCTAATAACCAAGTCCCCCCTAGGAATGGCTATTCCCCTTGCGAATGTAATAGCTCATTTCTAGGCAACCAAACGATAGAATAGGTCTATTCCAATGAATATTATTTCATTCCTGACCTATTCTATGAACCAATTTTTGTATTCTATTGAGAATATTGTAAGACAATTTAAACTAAACATGAGAATGTAAACTTTCAAATGTCATATTCTTTTGATTATGTAGTATAACATGAACCAAACACCTCCTAATTGCTTTCCATTAATCTTATTTCCCCTGAATCCTAAACCATCCAAACACACTAAAACTTATGTGGAGGCCTACAAACCAGAAATAAAGTGACACTCCCAGTCGACATAGCTTTAGAACAGATTCATTAAATTTTCACTATTTATTAAAGTGATTAAAAAAAGAAATAAAAAAAGAGCCTATTCCATTTTCCCTGGCCCATTTCCAAAGTGGGAATATATCTTTCTACCCATTTTAATCAACCAAAACCATGTTCTCATATTATTCCTTCTTCTTCTCTTTTTGGTCAGCTATCTCCATCCAGTGTTATTACTTATTAGTGTATACGCCTAATAACTATTGCATATGAGAGTTATATATATATATATATATATATATATATATATATATATATATATATATATATATATATATATATGGAGGGGTTCTGGTGCGGTTATTTGCTCATGTGCGCACGTGCGGTTTAATCTGAGTCGTTGATCAAATTTAGATAAACGGCTCAAATCAATGAAAATTAAAAAAAAAAAACGCGCCTTTGGAAGGAACCAAGCAACTTAACCTTAAGCATGAAAATGGCGCAGTACACAAACCACGCACGTTAAGTACACAAACCACGCACCTAAGGTTTTAAAATGGCGCACCTTAAATTTCAACAACTCACGCACTTTAAGCATACAAACCATGCATCTTAAGAAGGAAAACAACACACCTTAAGTTTCAACAACTACTCACATTAAGTGCACAAACCACGCACCTTAAGTTTCAACAACTACTCACATTAAACACACAAACCACGCACCATAAGCACAAAAACTACGCACCTTAATCACAAAAATCGCGCATCTTTAGTTTCAACAACTACTCACATTAAGCACAAAAATTATACACTTTAAGCACAAAAACCATGCACCTTAAGTTTCAACAACTAATACTCACGTTAAGCACACAAACCACGCACCTTAAGCACAAAACCACGCACCTTAAGCACAAAAACCATGCAATTTAAGCACAAAAACCACGCACCTTAAGCACAAAACCTCGCACCTTAAACACAAAAACCATGGAATTTAAGCACAAAAACCACGCACCTTAAATTTGACCTAAATGCAAAACTTACCAAATTACTACCGTATTTTTTATTTTTAATTTTGTTAATCTTGAACGTTGATTTTGACAAGATCATGGCTCTTCTCTCACCGCACAACTGCACCTGTGCGCACCAAGCGCATTTGAACCTATATATATATATATATATATATAGTCGCAACAAATTTGAAATTTCTATTCCCACATAGGGAAAAGGGAAAAATATCTTGTGCCATGTCAACATTGACCGGTTGTATCCAAGTTATTTCTTATATTTGGGTAGAGTGAACACTAGCTGACCCTAATAATCCCCCAACACTTACACTCACCTACTATGATATCAATTGTCAGATCAAGTATTTCTTGTTGAAGAAAATTATAAATTGCATATTTACAACACAAATAATACAAAGTATAAATAGGATGAGACATGAGCATACATAGGAGGTAACTACAACAATTAAAGACCTATTCTACATGACTAAAGGAAACTAGCTAATGCAACAGAAGATATAGTCAGTCCACATGCTGTAAATCATCCTTAATACCCGTTACGCACTTACGCCAAAAGTAATAGCTAGTAGGGAATGCACAATTTTATTTCCTTATATTTGCATAGCAATCAGCGTCACATTTCGACGACAAGATTCTAGACTCAACCCTCCATGCTGATATCCAACACTTCCAATCTTGAAGTTATACTAGCAGTTCACTTATCGATTGACCTAATTAATTAAGCTATTAGAGAACTCATTCGCAACTTGAAAAGATTGATAAGATCCTTTTGTTGCACTTTCTTCTTTATATGTCTCGTTTAGAAAGAAAAGGAAAGATTCCATACAATAAAGTAATGTAAGGGATAGAGAATGAATGAATGAAGATGTAGTTATATAAGAAGAAGAAGAAGAGGTGTCATGTTGAAAGCTAAGCTAGAAATCGAATGAATTAAAGATATGACGGATATGAAAGAAGTGATGTTGTGTTGCTTCATGCTCTTCCTCTATTCATGCACTTCTGCAACTTCTTCTCTTAATAACCTATCCTCTTCTGCTTCAGGTATGTATGCATGTTAATTATTGTTGAATTTCACTAAAATTATACATCTAATTACTCTATTGCTTCCTTAATTTTCTTTTAATTGTTTTCTTAATTTCATGAAATTAAGTGATTGAATTTACATTTACCATCCTGCACTACTCTATTGGTGTGTTAAGTACACTAAGGGCATCAACTTGTCTTTTTTTTTTTTTTTTTTTTTTTTTTTTTTTTAAATCACAAAATGTCTGAAAATTTTCAAAACAATACCTCAAGTTCTTCTATCTCCTCGATCTCGTCTCTCATCTTTCATTCAAGTCAGTCAAAAAGTCAGGGGATCGAAACTCACAAAAATCCTACTAATTCAACAGTATCTTTTTTTTTGGGAGGGGGGGGGGCTTAATTATCTTTACCTTATAATTTACCACAAGTTATAATGTATAAAAATTCTTTGTTGTTGTTGTTGTTTATTTATTTATTTATTAAAGTTTTGGTGTATGAAAATTCTTTGGTATTGCTTTTAATCATGCCTCCTTTCAAAACATTAATTTTAGTTCACGGAATGAATTTTGAGGTAATAGGAATGATATTCTATAAGTAATGAAATAGGCAAGGAATAGAATAAGAATTGTATTCTATTGCTTGGTTCGTGGAAGGAATAGACTTTAGGAATTATATTACAGTGTTTGGTTGATTTTATGAATAGAAATGATATATGTTTTAAAAGACATAATTACCCTTATAAAAATATGTGGTGGCGGTGGCGATGGTGATATATATATATATATATATATATATATATATATATATATATATATATATATATATATATAATACAAAGGTTATTTTCGATATTAGAGTACAAAAGCTATTCCCAAATACTTGGGAATAGCTAATATCAAGGGGATTCCCTAGAAATGGCTATTCCCCTGCAAAGGTAATAGCTCATTCCCGAAAATGCTATTCAAGACAAACTAAACAATGGAATAGGTCTATTTTCAAAAATGATATTCCATTCCTGACCTATTACATGAACCAAACACGCTATAATAGATTTAGAATATTAAAGACATCAATTGAGTTCAAAATAGAAAAGCAAAAAAATATAAATGGACACAAATGTCATTTCCATTTCATATTTTGGCAATGTCATTGTGTCATTCGTAAAAAGGCAGCGCGCATGTGCGCGCGCACACGTCACTATATATATATATATATATATATATATATATATATATGTGTGTGTGTGTGTTTAAATACGGTGCTGCTCTCTCGTGCGGTCGTGCAGACTCATTTTGACCAATGGATTTATTCATATTAATGCTTGAAAATTAATGAAGATTGGATAAAATGTGGGGGCATTTTGATAATTTCCTGTATCATGTATATTTCGGTGGTGCAAAGTGTTGGGGTGTGGTGCCCTAATGGAAAAATATGCAGTGACATTTTTGTAATTTCCTGCACCATGCATGTATATTTCGGTGGTGCACTAAGTGTCGGGATATGGTACACTTATGAATGCTTTGTGGTGCACTTTAGTAAATTGTGGTGTACCACAAAGTGTTGGTATGTGATGCACTAATGATAAAAATGTGGTGGCATATAGATAATTTTCTACCACATGTATATTTTAGTGGTGCACTTAGCGCTCGGTTGTGGTGCACTTATGAGTGATATGTGGTGCATCTAAGAGTGTCATGTGGTGCACTATAAGTAGATGCACCACCGAGCAATGTCAATGCACCAGGTCGGACGATCGCACCAGAAGAGCTGACCGCATATGAAATATATATGTATGTATGTATTGGATCAAATGAGATCAAGTCATTAGGAAAAATAAGAACAAATCTCAACATTACATCTAGAAAAACTTGACGGATCATTCAAATTATATATATATAAAAAAACACGGTGACATTTTCGTAATTATCACCAACTTTACTATGCAAACTTGAACACTAAAATTTCAAATTCTAACACTTTTCCAGGTTTGCGTATTTAGTATTAAAAGTTTACACTTGCAAAAATGTGAAAGTACATTGCACTTAGGGTTACAATTTTAGAGTTTATGGCTGAGTTTTTATGTTTTATTTGGTTTAGTGGTTCACTTTTTACTGCTTAAGGTCTAGCATTTATGATTTTGATTTAAAATTTAACTTTTTTGTTGATTTTATAAAATTTAAGAGCTGGTTGCATATTTAAGTGTTCAAATTCGCATAGTGAAGTTAATGACAAATACGAAAATGTCAACGCATTTTTTTTTTAAATCTAATGAGTTCCGTCAAATTTTTACAGATATAAGGCTGAGATTGATTCTTATTTCTCTCCTATGGTATTTCCTTAGCATAGGAGAGAAATAGTAGATAGTAACTAGATACTGTAACAATCGAACCGAAATAGTAGGGACGGATTTGGTTATAATTTAGAACCGAAATAAAATAATTTTTGAATTTAGATTATTTTAAAAATACGAAATAGAATTTAAATCATAAATAATAAAATTTGAATCGGCAGTTCAAAATCGAAACTGGAACCAAACCGAACTGATTTATCATATACCAATAGTGTTTGATCACATTTCTTCTAATTCCACATATAAGTAGATATGACTGCGGTTCAGTTAGAGTTCACAATCATAGGAAATGATAAATTGTATCGGAAACCTTTTAGGAAGGTTCCAATTTTTTTTTTTGAACCGCCAGTTCAGTTCCAGTCCATAGTTCTTGAAAATGGTAAATCGTAACGGGGACCTTTTAGGAAGGTTCCAGTTTCGATTTGAACCACCCGTTCAAAATTTATTCATTTATTTTTGTAAATTCTATTTCTTATTTTTAAAATATTCTAAATTCAACAATGATTTTATTTTATTTTATTTCGGTTCTAAATCGTAACCAAATCCGTCCCTACTATTTCGGTTTGATTGTTACAGTGTCCGGTAAGGATTGAATCGAACCGTACTCATTCCTATATATAAGCAATTATTTGTTGGAGAAAAAAGAATAAATGAAATACTTATTTTTAAGATTCATCTAACATTTTTTTTTTGAATGTTACTGGCCCTATTACATTGTAGTATCTGTTCATATACTTTCTCAACCTACTGGAACATAAAGAACCAATAACGCCTCCACTGAGGCTCGAACTCATAATCTTCCAAATGGAAGTCCAACCCGGGAACCATTAGACCACATAGTCTTTGGTATGTTCATCTAACATAAAAGGGGGAAAACCCACCATTTTTAACATAATTACGGGGGTAAATGTGGATACATGAATAACTTGAGAAAAAAAAGTACTATAAGTATATAACTCGAGAGAAAAATTTCTCTTATCTTTACTTTATAAATTTACAACAATCTATAATATACAATTTTGAAAAAGAACTAGCGCTTGATTTATTTAATTATTTTTTACTTTTTAATTTAAGTACTATGCAAAGTATGTAGTTATAAGTTATTGCAGTATGCGCGTTACGATGGTACCTTCTCAGTTCCCACCCAATTCAAAGAAAGGTAGGGGTAACCGTAGTTTCGATTTCGGTTCAGAATTGCCGATTTCGGTTCCGATTCTAACCAGATTTATTTAAAAAAAACACTATAATTTTTAAATTTTTTTCGATTTAGAACCAGAATTGCCGATTCCGATTCCTTTTCATCTCGAACTTTAACCGGAACAATATTGGTTCCGATTAGGAACCGAAACCGTATGGATGGTTTGATTCCGATTTCGGTTCCGGTTCAACAGTGCACAATTCGGTTCAAACCGTCCAATTCAAACTGAACCGTGGTCACCCCTAAAAAAAAGGGTCAAGCTAGCTAGCTGCTACCGCCCTCCCCAATTCCCCATGCCTTCTCTCACAATCCCAATAAATTAGCACATAAGTCCAACCCATCAACTCCATCCCTGCTAGCTTCTCTCTGCATTAATACATCTTTGCAGACTTCTTCCTAGCCATTAGATTCAAGTTGTCAACCTTCAAACTTCATCAATCTCCCAACACAAATCCAAGAAAAATCTCCCCATTTTTAGTCCACAACATTAACACTTTACTCCATCTGCCAACTACCAATCTGGCGGAGGCAGAGGCCACCAGCGAAAGGGCGCGGTCGCGTGGGGTGGCTGGCGTGGGGTGGACTGCTTCGGCGCATAACTAGAATTCTGAACTTCTGAAGTCGCTATTCTTTGCAAAAAAAAAAAAAAAAAAAAAAAAGTTGAGACAGTTCGATCGGCTAGGCGGTCTAGCATAGGCGGCCGCGGAGGCCGATTCCGACTTTCCTCGACGCGGCCGGGCGCCGCCTAACGCCTAGGCACCGATTAGGCGCGATTTTTGCAACACTGAGGTTATTAAAACTATTCCGGCCTTTGCAAAAATTATAAAACTAACCCTTTTGTCATTTTTTGGCAATTTTTCTGTCAATTTTTACTTTTTTATGTGGTTAAAAATAGTTAATAACAATTTTTTTGTATCCTAAAAATGGTCGAAAAAACCATTTGAGACCAAAAAATTTAAATTTTAAACAACTTTTAGTGATAGAAAATTCAGTTTCTATTTTTATTTTTATTTTTATTTTTTACTGTTGTCTAAGCCATATAAAAACACAAAAGAAAAAAAAAACTTTACTTTAGGCTGTGTTTGAAAACCCGGAAAATGAATTCTAAAAGTAGACACATTTGAGTTGGAAAATGAATGTAGAAAGACTTTTAAGTAGCCTTTGTTCCACATTGGTTTGGGAAGTGGTTTGCACCACTATATATACAATAGTTTTTTTAAGGCATTGAATTGTATAAACTGAAACTAATGCCATGATTAATTGCTATTAATTCCACATCTCCTATATAAGTTGTGGTTGAGCATAACATTTTACACACTGAAAATCTAAGCATTTTTCTCTAGAAACTCTACTCAATCCCAAAGAGAGTTAGCAAATAATTAAGGTTTTAAGGATAGTGTAGGTATCACAGGTCTCAAGCTAACAACTTAAAAATTTTACCCTTTCATTTTTCGTTCTTGTTATTTTTTCAGAAATAGTTCTTTTTTTGTAGGATTATTTCTACCCTTTCATTTTTCGTTCTTGTTATTTTTTCAGAAATAGTTCTTTTTTTGTAGGATTATTTCATAATATATAGCGCATGATTTAATTAGGTTGTTGATGATAGAAAATTAAGTCAGAGGGACCAAGTATAGCAAGGTTTTAAAACTCTTGTATCAAATGCGAAAAAATTAATAGTCAATAACAAATGTAAAAATAATTTAATAGTCGCGGACCAAAAGTGAAATTCTAAACTTAATGTTTGAGAAACTCAAAACGCAATCATGTTAGAATACTTCTATAATTAAATGTTGTGTATTTGCATCTATATATGCTGCAGTTGATATGAAGGCAAGGATGGAAAACAAAGTAGGAAGTGAAGGCCAAGCCAACAACAATAATTACAACACAATTAGAAGAAGCATAGGAGAGGAGATCAAGAATGGGCATGGAGGAGTAGGTGGCGGCCAAGGTGGCTCCGCCGGCAACGGCGGAGATAATGGGCCACACCAGCCGGGGTCTTCAATACCCATCTACGCCGCCAATTCCCACCAGAATCCCCATCACGGCAAAGGATCAGCCTCCACCATGACCAAACCATGCCCATTGGCTCCAGCTCTATCTGCAACTCTTTTGCTGCTGTTTCTTGGATCCGGGTTTAGCCCAATTTTCCGAATTTGAATTTTCAGGGGGGAGGACACTGTTTCCTTCTGTTAATGTATCCCTTTGATTGTATGGCAATTAGCAATAATACACATGGTGTATGAATGTATAATGGATCTGGGTACGTTTGGAAGAACAATTAAACTAACGTAGTAGTGGAGCCGTTCACCGTACCATTCTAATCGTAAAAATTTCAATTATATTATTGAATAGATAAGGGTCTTGTGAGTAGCCATTCTAATTTCATTGCTCTCCCAAATGAAACCTTATTAGTAGAAGTAAGTTATTATTGATTGTTAGAAAATAATACATTTGTGGCTCAAAAATCCATGAAGTCTTCGTCCTACATAATCAGTCACATCGCTGCTGCATGTCTTCACGTCGTCACCGAGTTTGGCGCATTTCCGTTTGTTTGTCACAACATTTGTTCTAAATTATTGTATAAATAGGCTTAGTTTGTTTGCTTTCAATGTACTCATCAATATCAATTCACTTTGAATTCATTTCCTTCATTATCTTATTCTCACGTAGCATATATATATATATATATATATATATATATATATATATATATATATATTATTAATTTCCTTAATCCTCTTTGAGTGATAATATAATATATATATTCTCCATATTCCTATTTCTTGTGTCATTCATATATTTTCATATTATTTAACTTCTATAATTCTCAATTTTCGAGCCTTCGCTTCCGCATTATTTCGCTATATTCCTAACAAGTGGTATCAGAGCCAAGTTTAATTGAGAGTTCTTTTCAAAGATGTCGACTGTTACCAAGTTCGATATCGAGAAGTTCGATGGGAAAATTAGCTTTTCTATCTGGAAGGTTCAGATGGAAGCCGTTCTAACCCAGAACGGTTTGAAGAAAGCGCTAGCTGGGAAGAAGAAGAAATCGGTATGAAGATTGGGAAGATTTGGATGACAAGGCACGTTCAACCATTCTTTTGTGCCTGTCTAAAGAGGTACTACATGAGGTAGTAAGTGAGACGACTGCGTCAGATTTAAGGTCCAAGCTGGATACGCTTTACATGGCCAAAACTCTGGTGAATACGCTACGTCTTAAGGAGCGTCTGTACACAATCCGTATGAGGGAAGGTACTTCTATTAAATCTCACTTGGATGAATTCAATTCTATGTTATTGGACTTGGAAAATATTGATGGCGTAATTGATGATGAGGATTGCGCTGTTTTATTGCTTGTCTCTCTCCCTAAATCATACAAGCTGTTAGGAATAAATTGTAAATTTTGATGAGCCGAATGTATTTTTGAAAAATCAAGTAGTCCTCATTTTTTGTTCTATTTGAGTCAGTTTGAGTCTACAGAGTATGGTGCATCCACATCATGCAACCCATGTACAAGTCTGGGAGATCATAATTTATTTGAAGAAGTTAAGCGGGATTATAGCTTAACACAATTATGATGCGGATAAATCACCAAGAACCATGCTAGAGGAGTTTGATGATACATGTGTGAGCTATGCCAAATGATCTTAAGTTCGAATCTTAAGTGAAGTATTTTTATCTTGCTTGAGAGACTAGCTCCACCGTATGGGAGACTATCTAACCGTATGGAGACTAGCTAAAGTGTATTGGAGACCAACCAAGATGGAGACTAACTTGGATACTAACTAGAATGGAGACTAGCTAGGGAGACTAACCAAGGTGAATGGACAAGTCTCACAAGAGCCATGCACCAGATGAAGAAACACACCAAGTATGGTGGACCAAGCATAAAATCGAAACAGAGCATCTCACCATGAACAAGAATGAAGCTTTTACAGAGGTTCCAATATATTATTTTACAAGGATCTTGAAGGAGAAAATATCTGATATATTTTTCATCTGAACATCAACTTTTTACGGTGGAACCGGAGACGCTCAAAGGAGGCTGATTCACGGAGAAATTGTTTCATACTCGAGCAAGAATCAACAGATAAATTATTCGATCAACTTGACATGTCAGAGCATTTATGAAGGACAAGAAATATCAAGCTTGCCGCGCCGAACTTATTCAAATTTTGGAGGCTACAAAATTGAGACACGGCAACGAGCAAATTATTCAAATCATCTGACAAAAGGAGAAAAGACTTCTACCTAATATTTCAGATCAAGTCGACAATATTATTTGATCAACTACAATTCAAAATGGACGATCGAGATCGAAAGTTGATCAACGGGCAAATAGTTTTCATTGGCTATAAATTGCCCAAGCAGACTTGAAGACAAACATGAATTCTACAACGAAGAATATCCAATCATTCATCAAGTGATATATTGAGCTATATACGATAGAATTCAAGTCTGAGTGAGAGAAAAATCTTATCTCTTTGTAATATTCTCTACTGAGTGTAGAAAGAGGGCGGAGTAACTAGAGAGAGTGAAAAACCCTGGTTGAGTGTAGCTATGTGCGTAGCACTCGGTGTAAAGGGCAGAGTAACAAGGGGAGCTTGTGAAAACCCTGTGAGAGCGTAGCTTTGTGCGTAGTTCTCGTGGTGTAGGAGTACAGCTTGGTGCGAAGTACTCGTGAAGGCGGAGTAACAAGAGGAGCTTGCGAAAAACCTTGGAGGAGTGTAGCTTTGTGCGAAGCACTCGGAAAAGTGTCGGTGGACACTTATTCACTATTGTATCTGGGTGATCGAAGAATAGTGAATTTCGTGTAACACCCCAGATTTTTGAAACATTTAAAACTTATATAATTAAGGTAAATTCTCATTAAATCCCAAACAGAGCAGTACTAAACATAGGAATACGGGGTGTTATGCCACATCTGAGCTGGAGAACTCAGATGCACAGGCTAAACTATCTAATTATCCTTAAACAACATCATTACATGATTATGGCACGCAGGCCGAATATGAAACTATCTATCTAAGCCTTGGGTCCTCTAGCGCGCTCCGGAGCTAATCGTCTGTGCCTGAAAGCCAAATATTTCTGTTCAGCGAATAATGCTGGTAACCCACTCTAACGCGTTGAAATACCGTATAAGTATATATATGTATATATAAATATAAGAAAAGCCATTTTGAAGCAGGAAGATATATCCTAGGAAACTCTAGTTTCAAAACTGGAATAGACTCGACATATAGGGATAAGCACATTTAACAATTATAACCAAGCATGTAAAGATACTAGCATATATCCTATGGGATAAGCACATTCAAAAATTATAACCAAGCATGTAAAGACACTAAGCATATATCCTATGGTCATAGATTCACTTCATCTCATTTATATCATCATTCATCTTATCACACAAGCACATGGCGCCACAGGACCAATCGCATGCCCATACATGAGGGTCAGCGCATATAGCTCTGACACGGCTCCGCAACACCCTGCCTCGTATCGCAATACGAAGGGGTCGATCGCAACCGACCTATGAACCGCAGATCATCATAATGTTTGATCGCAACCAAACAGTGGACCGCAGCCCAAGAGTAATCATCTGACCGCAGCCAGGAATATAAACCGCAGCTCATGTAAAACGTTTGATCGCAACCAAACGGTGGACCACAGCCCAAAAGTGATCATCTGACCGCAGCCAGGAATATGAATCGCAGCTCATGTAAAACGTTTGATCGCAAACAAACGGTGGACCGCAGCCCAAAAGTGATCATCTGACCGGAGCCAGGAATATCCAATTTGATCGCAACCAAATTGGGGTATCATGCACACATAACACATAGCAAGCACATGCAACCCACATTAACATATTGGGAAGGGGAGAAAACGTATAATAAAACCTATGCGTGGTCATCCGCATACCAGGAATAATCCTAAGGGGTTCATACTTCTTTCACCTAGGCCAACGGGATACCAATTCCACTAGCATGCGACATATATACATATATAAGACTCGTTTATCCTACGAATGGTACCCGAAACATCAAACTAGACTTTAGGCACGATAAACGGTGTCCGTTGGGACACCAGGAGGGTCGAGGTAACATCAAACGGGGAAGCCGAAGACCCAAGGTGGGAAAATTCCAACGGGTAGCCGGTGGGTGGAGGACCACCCGCCGGCGACAAGTCTCCGGGCAGCGGGTGCCCGGCGGGCAGTGGGCTGCCCTCTGCCGGCGGCGTCCTCTTCGGGCAGCGGATAGGTGGCGGGTCCCCCTACCCCCACTGACTCTCTATCAAAATAAACGTCCCGGGATCCTTTGTGGAACCCGAAACCATGCTTAGACACTTTTAAACTCAATTGATGACACCACGTAGACAATTAACGGATCAAAAGCAAGAATCATATAGCACATATCCTATCATGACTTCTAAGCATAATCAACACCCGAACATGCGAATTCCCACCCAAATATATCAAGAATAACACAATATGAGTTTCACGATTCATCCTAGGGCTCTAATCATATTTAAATCAACAAGATCATAGTTCATCTTTTAACATCAAGAAACATCAAGATTTATCAAGAACATCACATAATCATCAAGAACCTCTTATCATCATCAAGAACATCAAGATCCCACATAAAATTATCCCATCAGTCATCAAGATCATATCATCAATATTATAAACGATTCATCACGACACAAGCGTAGAGAAGAAGCCAAATAAGATAATTATAGCAAAGAAAATAGGTTTTGTTAAGACATGGGTTACCTCTTAGTCTTAATTAATCATTCCTTGGCTATTAGGGTTCTTCCCTAAGATTTCCATCCGTTTTGATCTCCCTAGGCTTGGTGGTGGGGAGTCCCTTGGGAATTCTTGTGTGGTTATATCTATTGTGGTGTGACTTCTAGGTGTCTCCTATGTCCTTATATATATTTAGGAGTAATAATTAGGGTCTAAATGGTATGGGTTTACTAATTCTATTTAGGAGTAATGATAGGACTAAGGACTTGTTTTAAGGATAAGGGTCCATGGTCCATGGTGGACTATATTAATTAATTAAAGAGAATCCTAACCATAATCTGAATAGTAAAGGTATACTTTCTTTATTCCTAATAGATGTGTAGGCCTAGGATTCCTAATTAGGATCTGATTAGTAAAATGTTGACTTTCTTTATTTCTAATAGGCTTATGACTCCAGTTTAGGCAAGGGTCCACGATCCGTGGTAGACCATATTAATTAATTAAAGGGATTTCTAATCAAATTAAATCCTTTTTAATTATTATTAATGAAATTAATTAAATAATTAATTCGGGATTAAAGGTCGTAACATGGGGTGTTACACTCTCCCCCCTTACAA